GTTCGAGCTACCCCGAGTGGGTCCAGGCCCTCGACGTGGCATATGTATGTTTCTTTTAGCTCACACCGCAACCGTCTCCCAACGTCTCTTCCAATCTTGGACGTCAAAAGTTGCCCGGATTCGGTGTAACATGTTTCCGCTGTGATCTTGCGACCAGCGTCTAATAAAAGTAGGGCGTACGGGGGGGGTGTAGGGCTCCGCACATTTTTCGTCCGAAACTCTACCCTCAGCGCACACTTTTTGGGAGGCTACATGCATGCGTCGTGCCGCATATTATCGACAATTGGGCCTGCACATATGCGTCTAGCTAGTAGAATTGGAGGATAGGGGCCAGAGGGGCAGACGACAGGATCCAATGATGGGAGAAATATATATAGTGACTATATATATTTGCCGTCGGTCTTGCGCAGGCGAAAACAAAAGTAGGGGGCCCTCGCTCTTTAGAATAATAGAAAGTAAACGCTTTTGCCGAACGAACGGCCAAAAATGATTTTTGGGCCCCATCTCCCAACCCCCAGCGGATGTTGCCCTCGGTTGTGCATAGCAGCCGGTGTAGCCAAACACACGCCTTCAAGTGAGGGTGGAACCAGCATTTACCGGCGAGAGACTTTTTGACGGCGTGGGATTGCTGGAGGCAAGGACGCTAAAAGAGAGATACAGCAGTGTCGGCGATTTTTTCTTGGTAGCGCCTCGCCGTCGGTATTTGGCAACAATTTTTTGTCTTGGAAACAATGGGGCCTAGGCATGACGTCGGTATTTGGCAACACGTTTGAAGAGAGGCATCGCAGATATACACATCACTGTCGACTCGGCAACACACAGCCCACACAGCACGCAGCACACAGAGGAGGAGGGGCTTGTGGGACATGGGGGTAGCATCCGCGCCATTATTGTTGCTGCTGCTGCTGCTGTTCCTCCAGTTGATGGAACGGAAGCAGCAACAATATTGAATAGCTAACCGCCGAAGCGGCAACTCTTTTTTGTTCATGGTTACCAGACGCTAACCCAACGAGAGGCTACATGCATAGCATGCTGGTGCAGTAGCAATGTGCATCGCTCATCATTTATACATCCCTGCCGTTGGTGGTGGTTCTTTTTGACGTGGCTGGTGTGGAAGGACAGCTGCGCAGATAGAAAGAGATGCGCTTTTTTCCAGGGTTGTTGTTGTTGTTGACTTCACATTAAACCGTATTGTTGTTGTTGTTGACTTCACATTAAACCGTATGCCAGTTGCTAAATGCCAAAATCTAGCAAAGACTCTCAGCCCGTGGTCACGAAAGTGCTAGAGCCATCTGAGGATCTAAAGAACACGCACACGTAGCAAGAACAAGGTATCCAAGAGCCCGAAGAGGTACTACTACACCTATA